TAAACTTTTATTCATGGTAAAATTGCGAAAAAGGGTGTACATGAACGGTAAGGGGGGAAGTTGAAGCCAATAAGAAAAAGCCAAGAGAATTTGTAAATAAGAGGAGACTTAATAGATGGTTATCAGGTACAACAACAGAACTTGAAAACAGCGACCCTACAATTTCAAGGTAGTATCCAATTTTTACCATAGCCATTCTTGACCTTAGTTTCCCTGTACTAATATGATTTATTGTAAACGAAATTTCGCAGTTAGTGCTCGTTCGCCATAAAAAAAGGAAAACCGTTGTCTTTTATATTTTTCCAGGTGCTACCAACATCAGGCATCATTAACCCATCAGTTGTTGTTTTTTTACTCAGTGATATTGAATTTTCTATCTCTTAGTTGAGTCTCTGGTTAAAAAGACGCCCAAACGAGGTTTATACACTGTAGAATTGTGCCTCGTTTCTCTATTTTCAAAATACTTCAGGGAAAAATAGGTACACGCTAAGGTTGGCGCAGAGATTTCTCGTGGCATCGTTTGTGGTAGCCAATGACCAATCATAATTATGCATGTCTGCCCGTCAGAAGATCCCAGAAATAGACGATTTAGTGGCGAATTGAGAGCTAAATTTTTTATGCTGGTTTGGCCATCCCCCTTTTTTCCTTCATTTACCGTCGAATGCGTTTCCTGATATTGGGTCGGTCGGTCGGATTGAAAAAAAAAGACCTAAAAAAATTTTTTTTCTCTATGCTGTTACTATGCTCATTTTTCAGATTGAAAGAATTATTTCAAGTGAAAAATGGTGTAACTACGTCGTTACTTTTTTTTTTTTTTTTTTTTTTTTTGAAATTGCCAAAAATTTGGATCGGTCGGACGACGGTAAACGGAGAAAAAAAAAGAGGATGGCCTTTGATAAGATGATTTGATTCGATACATTTAGTTACTTTGAGCCTAAGAAAACTGCTGATTCCACCACTGGTTTCCCCTCGAAATGACTACAAAGATGGGAAACGAAGGCAGAAATTCTGCCATACTGATGACGTGTCAGTACCCACATCTGTGCAGTCATGGCGGAGTAGTGCTTCTGATTGGTTGAAACGAATTTCCCTCGCGGCAAGACCAATCGGAGGCACCATCCACATCTGGGTAGGGACACGTCATCAGAATGGAATTTCTTCAGTCGTTACTCAGACGTCATCTGGCGGGGAATCAGTGGTGTCGTCAAGGAATGTCGGCTGTTCTCTCAGCCTAGGTTGCATTTTTAACCAACAGGTACTCCTGGTCTTCACGGACGGAATGTTGGGAGAAGACGAAGAAGAACATCGCTTGGAAGCCGCATCTCGTGCTTTAAAAGACTCTGGCATCCTAGTGCAGTCCATAAACATCCCAGAGATGAAAGATACTGTTAACTTAATGAACTTGGTTGAAATAGCTTCTAGTGATGTTTATGTGTGGAATGAAGTGGATAACGAGCTTCTGACTCAGCTAAACAAACTGGAGAGAGAGCCTTGTAACTACTAGTAGACTATTTATCAGTGCTGTTTAAGGCTATATTCACACTATACTGAATAGCTTTTTGCCACGAAAATTTCGCTGAAATCACCGTAGTCATGTTTGAACAGAAGCCCTATACGATATGGTTTACGTGCGGCTCAAACGTTATCGTGTTTAGTGTGAACATACCTAAACGGACCGTACACTGGCAAAAGCTCAGTTCAAGAGTTTGACATAGTCCTTAGAGCGATTTTCGTATGAATTACGTTACGTTACGTTACGTTACTTTGATAATAATTTGTCACGAACATCAAAACAAGCTGAAATATATTTTGGGAATTGTATATTGATGAAGTAATTAGAGGAGTTCATCAGTTCATTGATCAAACCGTTTATAGGTAACTGGGTAATTAATATTTGGAATCAGAGTCTTGACTTTTATGGTAAAATTTATTCGTAATCATAGAGTATGTAGGACATTGAAAAAGAAAGTGAACTTCGTCTTCTATTAGATTGGATCCACAAAAAGGCCAATGCCTATTATCCTTCGTAGTTTGATTGTATCTGCCTATTTCTATCATTAGTTTGTGACTGCTTATTCGTAGTTTTACTATAGCCCTCCTCTCAGCTGTTCCTCTTGTTAAGTCTAAAGTAACTAGAGGAGGTATGATCGGTTTTCAAAGATCTATTAAATTCAAGTTTTTGATAATGTTGAAGGGTGCTCTCTTAACGGACACTCTTCTATAAGACAGACACCTAGAAGTTGGTGCCTGCCTTTCTGATTAATCCCTTTATTTGACTCTCTTTAAGACGGACATCGCTCTTCGACGGACACTTGGTGCTGTCCTAAAGGTGTCCTTCTTAGACAGAGTTGACTGTATTCTTCAGTAACTCTTCAGTCCAGCTGATCCATATATTAGCAGAGTAACAAGCTCAGTTTTAACCAATTAAACACTATCCGAAAACCTGTTAAAGTAGGCTGGAAAAGACGATCACTTCGCCGAGCTTTTTACCGATATGAATCTCCGATATTAAGGCCCTGTACCGTTGTTATCGAAACATTTTACAGATTTTTAAATAATCGTGATAACAAAGATCAAGTAAATCAAGATGATAATCTGTATATATGTGAGACTATCAATCAATATTAAAAGTATACATGGCTAAGAAAAGACTGTAATACAGATTACAGTCCAAGAATACTGATTCGCCATTACGTGTTTAGATTCGGAATGTTACTTCTAAATATAATAAAGACATCTATTGTTATCCAGGGCCGGGTTGTTCAAAGCTGGGTTAAGAAAACCTAGGGTTAGTGTAAATTTGAATTCAGATATGAAAGCTTGAAAAGTAAATTCAGATTCTTTTTGTCTACAATTTGATGATTACATACTGTAAAAAGAGCAGAGCAAATTATCCAAGAAAATGCTTTTGATAAAAGGAATTTAAAATAAACCCTGGTTAGCGCTAATGGCCTTCAAACAACTGGGCGCTACTGAAATTGGTTACCATTTTCAGTAAGAGATTATTGCATTCAGCTTTCGTATGGTTTGAAAAATAAATGATGCAGATCGAGGAGGCTGTTATATTAATCCACCGAGGCCGCCGGTCGACACGAAGGTGCGGCAGTGCGGAAAACACCATAATTCAGGCCGAGGTCGATAACCGCCTCCGAGATCTGCAGTAATTATTCACAACATATACGAAAGTCTACTTCAATAACTATTTTATTATTCATCTGAAATATTTTCAAGTTCTTAACGTCCTAGCTACGTCCTTACCTTCACGCATGCAGACTTTTTTCAAAATATTTGTCTGTTCCTCAGCAGTTTCAAAATTTCTTATATGGCTAGTTGGTTTGATTCGTTTAGACTCGATGAACACGACCGCGAATGATCTCTTGCGCGTTCAATCTAATGTTCCATAAAAAGGCCATAAAATAAATAACTCATTAACCTTGTCCGTTCGGTCGACAGTACTGGGAAATCTCAGACCAAAGCCGTGCTTTCACATGTATAACTGTAAATTATTTCGCCATTTTCAGCTAAACAGTTTCCTTACACATTATATGTTATATCGGGGTCACCTATTACCCCAATTTCCCTTTCAGAATATCTACAGGCTTCAATGTTTAAATCACTGTTAAAATTCTCCCGCGTCAAGGAAGTTTTTTTGGGGGGTAGGGGGGTTACCCCCCTGGATTTCAGACGAAGAATTTCTACTTTTGTGTGAAGAATACTCTTCGAGGAACCGAGAATTTCTAAACCCCTAGTTTCAGCCTGAGAACACGCGTTTTGAAGTCTGTGACCGCAGATCAAGAAAGTCTTAACATGCGCAGTGACTGTCATTCTGCAAAAATACTTCTGGTTGACGCCGTGGTACCAAGAACGTCTAGCTGCGTCTGGTGTTTAAGTTCCCTTTCTTAAAAGGAGTGACCGCACGCAGTGTACCCTAGTCTCGCCTATATCGATGGAGAGTATTGATTTGCATATGATTACTGTGATTACTACGATTTGTAGTAGAAACGAACTCTATCTTAGTGATTGTTGCATACGAACACTGTTGCCATCGCTGAAGGGTTTTTTTTTCTGCTATCGTAACGATCGTAGTTAAAACGGGTTTTTAGTAACCCTGACGAGGACATCAGAGGAAACGTAAGTTAAAAGAGTAAACTCAAAGGGCGCGAAACCATTCAACCAAAATTTCCCGAATTTTCGGTCCAAAACTCAATGGATCGGTTCGGTCCAACCGGAAAAAGTTTCGAAAAAACTGGTCCACCTTTTGAGGTGGACCACATTTCCCGGTCCAACTGGTCGGAAATTTTGGTTGAATATGGATCGCGTCCATATTGTTGTAAGATTTATCACAATTATTCTAAGTGACGGCTTAACATCTATCAGATCTGGGCGGATTTCCTGGAGGATGAATTTTTAGTGAGACATATCCAAGCAATGGAAGAAAAGAGAAATTTGTCGCTGTGTGTTCACGTGTTTTGAAAAACTTGAGGAGATAGATAAAAATTTAAACTTACTACAAGTCGACCTCTTGTTTGAGCGACGAAGTCGCGAGAGGTCGTCCTGCTGCGACGAATGACTATTTTGAAAGTCTATAAAAATAGTTTTAATAACGCATTAAAGTGGTGATGAAAAAAAAATGATCTGCAGTTTAAGATCTCATTAAAAAAAGCTTTTTGTTTTTAATCACCCTACAAAAACGGAAGATGAATAGGTCACATTAGAGAGATTTAAGATTATTTTGTTCCCCCGTGGTGGAACAAGAATCTTGCGCCTGCTTCTGTTGCTTTTGTAAAGAGAGAGCAGAGATTCTCATATTTTAGCTGGAATTATTAGGGAGATGGAACTTGGGGATTTAGTACTGGTTTGAATATATCATTTCAAAGATATTGCGGAAACTGTCAACTGATCCGGCTTGCGTGGTTTACAGTCCGTTTTTCCTACGCTTTTGTTTTTAGAAAGCACGTAGCATGTATATGTAGTGTACTCAAGTTGGTGGATCGAGAACAGAAATCTGAAATGTCGCCTTCGCGCTTGTTTTTTTTCTTTTTTATACGTTTGAATTCCAATGCAGCGCTAATTTTGTAATCAGTGTCTTGCTTCCATTTTTCTGTGAAAGAGACGTTATGCAAGAAACCCTGTTGCAATAGGCAGCTTTGATGTTTATGATTTTTTACTTAACAATTAACAATCTTGGAAAAGGGGCTTTATTTTCTGTTGTGCTTATTTTTTGTACGTGTATTAGTATGAAAAAAAGGTTACTATGTTTTTATTCGAAGCTTTTTGGAAAACAGCAGTTGAGTTGGGTAGATGGATCAAGTTTGATTGATTCATTGCTAGATTCCATTAATTGGGCGGTGGAGCCAATGCGCTCGGTTCACTTGCATGCATCGTTCTACACCTCTTATTTTAATGGTCCCCTTTAATCTGCGCTTCCATTGTTTTCAGGAATAGGGGCATTGTTATGTCACAATCCCTATCGTATTCCTAGCCAATCATTGCCCCAAATGCGCTGAGTGTAAGGTTTGAAATGTGTTTGAACATATTTGTTGTATGTAGTAAGAAAATGCTGTGTTTTATGTGAACATAAACGTGCTACTATGCACATGGAATCGAATCCAGTTGTGCTCATTTCTATTTAAAATCTCTTTATTGTCTTCCGTCAATTCCTAAATCCGCACAAAAATAGGTGTGTTCGAGTTGCAATCGTCTGCGTGGAAATGTTCTTTTAGTTCTTTGTTTAGAGACTGCCTTTTTTGAACGTTTTAGGCGCTCCGTCTTTTTAAAAGATGGGAAGAATACGAAAACACGGGTAGCCGAAGGTGATAATCGATAAATCTAATAGGTCTCATTTCGTTTGGGTTTTCCACATCTCTACTATTTCCTTCCTATTCCCTCATCGGAGCCACATAAAATAGGAAATCCCGCTCAACTTCTCATTATCAAAATTTCTGCTTTCCCTTCTTTTTTAAGGTTGCATCTGGAGTATTTGCACCAAAAATAGCCAAATCCTGTATCACAAGAGTAATTGTGGACAGACCTTCAAGTTGATAAGTTATAAAGAATTGAATTTTATAAACAGGAAAATGTGTGTTTGGTAGAAAAAGTAGTTGTGAATATTCAATTCGTCGATGAAATTTGATGTATTGAAATTTGCGAAAAAAGAGAAATTTAAGTCAAGGAAACTTAACGGTTGCAAAACGTCTTTATTTTTATATATATATATAATTAATTTATTTTACTTATTGATTTATTTAACGCAACGAAACGAAAGGTATCCTGGCTTCAGTATCCTGGGCGGAGGTCAGCGCTGAGGAGAAAAATGGACGAGTTCATGTTAGCATGGCGGGGTAGTGCGTCATAAACGCAGACATTACCACATACATATAGAAAATAATGTACCAGAATTATATGCTTCTGATGTTATACTAGCGGAAGTTTTGAAAATGTGTTCACAAAAATACGAGAATATTTGAGGAGAAACCGGGCGACACGGAACACTAGGAACTACACCAGGCACTAGGATACAGTTTTGGCGAAGCCATACAATTCCAGACATAACTAATCGATGATCAATGACATCGATTGGTAATCAATGAGTAATCGATAAGTAATCAGTTGATTAGTCATTGATTATTGGCGATGATCGATGAGTAATCGAAGCCCAAGAATTTTGTGGCCCATCGATTACTCATCGATGTAATTGATTACTCATCGATGACCCATCGATTACTCATCGATTATTATACTGCGCACGAAAGACACTTTTCTTGCTTTCTTGTACCATTTTTTTTCGTTTGTCATTGTTTTATCTGTGTTAGACGCATTTTTCCTTGTATCTGAAGATCCTGTTGACGATGTCGAGACGCAAAGTGCTAATCACAAATACAGATGATTCTCAATTGTGCAATATTTCACTTTACCCAACTCTTTAATTAATAACAAAACAACAGTAACCAACCAGTCTGAAAATGAAACTAACAAGTACGCTGACAAAAATTCACTACGTCGATTTTTCAGTTTTTGTGGGTGTTTGTCAGCAAAGTAAAACTGCTTCAGCTTAGGGAAACATCCGTCATAAGCAGTTACATAACCAGCTTGAGTATTGAATATTTGTACAAGTTCCGATTTTTTGGCCTTTGAGCTAAACGCGATTCCTTCATCTTTTAAGAGTTGTTTTAGAACCGCTATTGTCATATTTTCGGCAGGTCACTGTTTCATACGTTCTGTTTTTTCATTCTTTTCTTTCTCTTGGGCTTCATAACAAATGTTTACAACAAATGTTCCGAAAAAGATCTAAGAGATCTGAATCTCAAATCGTCTTCTGAACAGATATTTTCCGAAAATTTACGTTGGGTGCCCCTGCACCTCCAGCCTGTGCCGGTGGCCATCGATTTCTGAAAGAATTTTGTCATCGAGTAAAAGAATGCCTTCAGAAGATGGTGAGTTACTGGAATTTTTTGGACGAACTGAAAAGAGTCCAGGACCTTGAGGCCATGTACAAAGACAGCAAGTATCCATCGCACGGAGTTATTGAAGAATTTGCCCAACTGAACAACCTTGACGGGGCAACCGTCAAGGTATGGTTCAACAACAAACGGCAAAGAGATACTGGAGAACCTTCTGAACCTTAATTTCCATGTACTACTTAAGCTGAAAAGAATAAACATGGAAACATCTGTTTACATTTAAGTTTTTTTAATTTTGTTTTTCTTCGCCAAACACGTTTGCAGCCACGAGATGTTATCGATGAGTAATGGATGAAATAAATGACTAAACAATGCAATCAATGACTAATCGATGACCAAAACTTTTGTGGCCTATCGATTAGTCATCGACTACTCATTGATCATCGGTAATAATCAATGACTAATCAACTGATTACCTATCGACTACTTATTGATTACTCATTGATTTCATTGAAATCGTTGATGTCATCGATTATTAGTTATGTCTGGACAATTCCATGCACGAGATGTTACGTTGGGATGCTGCTATTTTCCCTTAGCGTTCTTTGGATGGCGAGCTAGTTTGTTGAGAGGAAAGGTTGTAGCATACAGTTGTCCACCCTTTATATATCTGGGTTCTGTGGTGTAATCACTATTTCACTTATTTTCCACCATCAAAGAGAGGTGTGGAAAAAAAATTCGTACCGAAACCAAACATTCTTTCTCCCCCACCCCGCTAAAAAGTCAAATGGTTTAGATGACGTAAGAACTAGATGGCGCATGCGTGTAAAGTGTGCATGAGGTTTTGCGGGAACGTACTTTGGTTCATGCGTCTGATCTTTAATACGATGAAAATTTTGCTTCATGTGGATAGAGTATCTATTTTGTTTTGGACAAATGAGTTTTTGGCTGTTTGAATTTCGTAATATTGGTAAGTTTGGAGATTATTTAGTAGATAATGTACTGAAAATAGAGAAAATATAAAGATCGATCAGTGAGGATTCGGGGGCGGGGGGGGGGGGATCCGCCCGAAAGGGGTCCCTTTTCCGGGGAAGTACTTCACGTCAAGCCTAAAAGTGAAATGATTGACGTGACGTAAGAACGAGATGACGCATGCGTATGAAGTGCGCATGAGGTTTGACGTGAAGCCGAACTTTGGTATATGGTTCCGATCTTAGGAGAAAAATTTTCCTTCACGTGGATAGAGTACCTATTTTGCTTTGGAGAAATGAGTTTTTCGCTGTGCAAATGTCGTTATAGTGGTAAGTTTAGACCTTATTTAGTAGATAGTGTACTGAAAATAGAGAAAGTAAAGTTTGTGACCATCGTTGCACGAGGGTACTCGCTACAATGATTTAGACGGGGACGCTCCGCTCCAAAAGGGTAGCTTTTTCAGGCTTCAGGTATATGAAAGGTTACGAATTTGACTTGTGAAGTTTGTGAAAGCGTAGGGAAATGTGTCATAGGTGGAACCGATGAATTTCATGGTTTTATAAAGTTGCGAAAGCGTCCTATTTTTGTCATGGATTCCTATTGAAAGGACAGTGCATTTACAGCAGGTAAAAGGGGTGCAAAGTTCCAAGCAAGGTATGTGAAAGGGGTACCATTTTTGTGTAAAAATTGTATCTGTACGGGCTTGGAGGTAGGGGCCGAGCCTCCCTGTATGGAAATTTGTTGTGTGATACATAAAATCAGAGCTGTGAGACAAACAAATGAATATCTCTCCTGAGCATTATTTTTGAATTTGCAAGAAGCATGCAGGGGCAAAGTTTGAGAAGCTGTTAGGCTGAACAGTTTTCGAAAACCCGAATTTCAATCCGTTTCAATCTTGTTTAGTTTTGTCCATCTGTGGCATCTGTTGTTTCTGTTATGTTATTTTAACCTTCCTTTTAAGCAGTTATTTTTATGTTTCTGTTAATGTAATGGGCATTTTGTAATGTGCTAATTTGGCTGAATTTTGTGAGACAGATGCTTTCATTTAGACAATCTGTGAGTGACAAAAATATCTAGTAGGAAACATTTGTCTATTAGAATCATCCTTGTGTTTCAAACAAAGGGAAACAATTTGCTAGTGGTCTGATCAGTTTTCTAGTGAAAAAAAATATTACTAGCAAAAGCTGCAAGTGTACGAAAAAATTAACTTCAAAACCCTCCGCTATGTCCTGGGGATTGGGGAGACTGTGATTTCAATTGAGTGGTGGATAAGGAAGATATTTATTTAGTATTACCTTGTGTGTGCACCTTTTGCAGCGCTTCAGCTTGTTATCTGTATAGAAGTAAAAATAGAAAATACTTGATTATTGGGTTAGCAACAGTGAAAAGTGACATTTTTTGTGAGTGGTGATATGCAAATGCATATAAACAAGAAAGTTTAAGTGGATAGAAATTTCCTTTATCTGTAAATGGTATGAAATAATATTATTCATTAACAACTAAATGATTGGATAATTCAATTGTAGAGTCTTGATTGGCTTAGCAATGATTCTATGAGAAGGACAAATGCTACCTGTAATGAAGGTGAAAAGGAAGACAAGTGGAAAAGATGTGAGCAGGAACAGGTACAAGAGTTTCTTGATAAGTAGTGTAATTTGGAAGTTTCAGGGTGTCATGTAAAACAATAATAAAAATTGCAAAGAATTGGCACCATTAATTTTGGGAAAGTAGTTTTCCACGCACTGCCCAATTGGTTGGAAATTACTGGCCGGGGGTACTGCCATATATATGCTATATAGGTATGTGCCGCTCTGAAGGGTATGGTTTTCAAGCAGTTTACTCTAGGATAGGGTATATAAATCAGAGCGTTTGGGTCTAGAATAGGGTACGATTTTTCAGGAAACTGATCAGTTGGTTGAAGATTTTATCTAGACTGGGGAAACAGCTACTCTAGGATAGGGGGATTTGGGGAGTTTACTCTAGTATAGGGTAGCAAAATTCAGCTGAACTAGCTCTGGTTTAGGTTAAGGGTTCCAGGGTCCCAGCGGCACATCCCCACCCAGAAATTCCTAAAGTGCCCCCCCCGGGATTACTGGTTTCAAACTCCCCTCCTCCTTAGAATTTCCAATGATCTTTTGCCACAAGTGTGGTAAAAAGGCATAATTTTTGTTTGAGTAATGAAGGTTGGAAGATATAGTGAATAGGAAATACCATACATTGTGTATTAAACCCGCTCCCTTTAACAAGGCACTCCTTCCCTTTCAGGAAGAGAAAGTTGATAAGGTGGCCACTGTATTATATCAGTCCCCTCTTTAGCTGTGTTAAATATTCATGGCAAATAAATGATAGACTGTATTAATAAGTCACTACTGTAAAACATCGTGTGGACTGATGTGTCATGGTTTGTTTAGGAATTGCAAGTTTGGATTTAATTGTGATTCTTGCATTGCATTGCACGGAGAAGTGATGTGATTGCCTTTTTGAAATGAAATAAGCCCCCCTCTCAAATAAGCGCCCCTCTCATCAAGTGGGCTTGAAATAAATAAGGCCCCCAAAAGGGCCTTAATAGAGGATTTACGGTATGTGATTTCACAAACGAATGTAACTGATATGTACAATTTGAGAGAGTAAAATAAGACTCAATGTGATTAAAAGTATGGAAAATGTTTACTCACAAGATGCTTTTTCATAGCCTTCACTACCAATTAAGCACCTCAGGGCTATAAGTGGAAAATGCATTTGATCAATAACAGGACAAATTTATGGAAGCTTATTTATGTGTTTCTTTTTTATTTTGTAAGGCAACGTTGAACATGTGATGTTGGACAACATTCTTAGGGGTAAGTATAAATTATTCTTCTGTATATCAGAATTATCTTCACTATTGATACTCTTGTTTCTTTCATGTAGATTGAGAAATAGAAATTCTGATTGATGACGATGAGTGTAAAAGGAAAGAGTTTTCAAGAGTGTGAAGCATTTGTTCTCACGTGTTTTTTCTGAGCACTTTCATGTCTGAAGAAAGACTACTGAAGAAATAACACCTACATTTTGTAACAAAGTTGAGTCATTGTACTCAAATAGAATAACTTTATAGAAGAAAACAATCTGGATCTCTTCCCTTTCCGTCTATTCAAACTGGAGTGTTAGTTGAGAGCAGTTATTTTCTTCTTGTCTTCAGGATAATATTAAATTAATCTTTCAAAATGGTTTAAGTAAAAAGTAGGAAATATTTTTATTATCAGATTGTTCATTATTTTAGGTAGTGTAGGAAAGCAACAGACGTTGTAAGAAGGCAATATATGTGACTGTGCATATTGTTATTTTGTGTATCAAATTGTACTAAATTCATATTTACCAAGGGGTACTCGCCTAGACTGTGAGACACGGGAATCTGTTGGAAAATTACAAAGTAAATTATTATTAATGACTTACAGTCATATTTTTAGCTCAGTATTTCAGTTTGATCTACAATTTGTTGACAAAGTTGGTATATACTTGTTTGGAGAACAGTAATATCAGTAGTTTAAGGAGTACTGATAAATTGCTTTACCTGTTGTTGTTGGTGTAGTTTCACTAGTTTGTACCCCTATGTCTGTGAAAAAGAATTATTAAAAAAGTTGTGTTTAAGGCTCATTTTATACTGTGAAAATTGTCTAACAGGACTTAAACGTTTTCTATAGATAATATGATAACGAATTGTTATTAACAGATAGACATGAAAGACATCTACTATAAAAATGGGTTCTGTTAACTTTAATTATTTACCATAGGTAGGTAATGGGATTATTGTTTCTGTAGTACATTTTTGGGAGGTGAGTTGTGTTGTGAAAAAAGTGGCAAAGCCACAAGGGAAAGTCCTGCCTGCCATATTTCTTATGAGTTTTGAATGCTCCTTAATTTTGTCACCTTTGTTGGAACGATTTGATTACCCAATCAAGAAGGGTGGTATAATAGGAAACTGATCTGGAAACGAGGCAGGTCAAGTGTAACAATTAACTCATGGATAAAAAGAATTACATCTTGGAAGTTATTTAAGATACAGGCAGGGTATTCTGTAGTTACTTTAAACATTAGAAACTAAAACTTTTATTCAACGGCGATTTAGGTGCCAAAAAAATTTTTCTCGTTCAAAAGAGGTCAAAGAATCTCTAAATTTCTTGAGAGGTCAAATTCTGCGTCATGACGAAAACCAGAAGAAATCAGTGCTAGAATGGACAGGAAACATATTGATCAGCCTCATTAATAAAGTCTCAATTTGCAAATATAATGTTTGCTCAGTGTAAAGGAAGAATAATTCTTCTTATTGTGTATAGCATACTGTACCCGTTTAAATTTTCTAAGCTATGAGTATTGTCAAGCTCTCTTTTGATGTTGAGGTGGGATTGATCAGGCACTTTGCAGTGCATGACAAAGATGTCGTCTGATGTGCTTTTGTTAAATAGGCAATTCTCTGTTTTAAAACAAGATTAGCTAGTTTCAATTGTTTTTTAATGAAGGATAACAGAAGATGTGTCTTGAACATTGACATGTACTTGGCATCAAAAAATGCCTTTCTAGAATTTTTTCAAACACAAATCTTATTAAGGAGTGGAGCTTGTTTATACGTTGCTCAATTTCATTTGATTTCTGCATTAACGTGGTAACTTTTCCTTGGGAGATAGTAGACATACTTGGTGTTTTATTATTTCTGAGCAAATCAGAAACTCCCATAAGCCTGGTTGCACAGTATTCGAATAGCCCAAGAATTGTGGCAGGTGGGATTTCAAATAAACTTGTATTCACTGTTCTTGCAGCTTTGGTGCCAAAACAGCACTCCCATGTTAATCCTGCAAGGTATGACAGCTACAATATATTTTTCAATTTGTCTTTTTTTTGTTTTCCAGTTGTTTGTTTCTTGGCTTTTTGTTTTGAACGTGAAACAAATCAAAATTAATCTCTACTCTTTGAAGATGTAGCTGCGTTCACTTTTCTGCCTTAAAAAATTTGGGATGTTTGTTTCATTGCTTTTTTGAGAAAGGGAAGAAATAGGCAGGAACAAACACTATGATTAAAATAATGTAGGTAAATTCAAAGCGTGAGAACTTGTTACAATGGAAATGAAGGACAACATCAAAATAAGTGCTTCAAACAGTCGAGGGTAACATAGACATCTTATGATTTATGTTATTGTGAAGATGAAAATAGATTGTCTGCAGTTAACCACTGTCTGTAAAGCAGGGGTCATAATATGTGAAACATTGTGGCTTGGGATATAGAAAAGAGTGTGTTGTTAGAATGAGCATGTTTTCTTCTGAAGTATGAAAATTTAATTTAGACAAAATCTATGGGCATTATCCTGGAACAACTGAAGGGTGTATGTTATACACATTCATGTGTGCTTAAGTGCGAGTCCATACTGGGTTTTACTGTACGTGTGTAGCCCTCCAAGTTGAAGTTTCTGCTCAGCGACCATTTTGCAACCAACGCTTTTGGCTTGGGGAGACTTTTTGACAAATCAAGTCGCCAGCTCCAAACTTTTAGGCACCATGCCTACTAAAATTGTCGCAGCTTGGGGGGTTGCTGTGTAAACTCAACAGCTATTACCAGCTCTTTTGTTTTGTCTGTGTCACTTTATTTTTCATGCAGTGTTTTATTCATGAACAGTTACTGTTTGTGTAAATTATTGCTACAGTTTAATATTATGTAGTTTTAATTCTACCTTCTGAATGTTATGAGAATTTTACCTTTCAGTAAAATGAACATGCCATTGGGTTCAAATCTCTGTCTTCGTAGTTGCGTGAGTGTTCTGTGAATGTGGTCTGAAATAATGATTAACACATGGGAAAAAATAAAGTACAGTGGTTATGTTCTAGTGGTGCTGATCTTTGCTATTTATAAAAGAGCCTGATTGAGATGAATAATATTTATCCTTTTTTCGGCATCAAGATGAAGGAACATTAAGGGTTTGTGTTATAGTTTGACTATGAGCACAAAATGGAGTATTTTGAAGAAATTAGTTTGGGCAGTTTACATAATATTAATAGTATTGTAGTAACCTTATCTTTTATCACTTTCCACATCTTTTTGACAAACAGTGAAAGTAGTGAAAGTTGTGAGAACTTCATAAAACCTTGTAACCTTTATGCAAATATGTTTGGAAATTCTGTGGTGATGCATTATAATACATATACCGGTACCTTGATTCATTCTGTTTCTTGAGGTTTGTTTGGAAGTGTAAAAAAATAAATAATTAAGAAAATATAGATAGGAGTGTTTACTTTTGTTTGTTGATATGTGAAACAGTTTTTCTTATCTGTATTAATACAAGTTGCACTGTGTTGATAAAGAAGTTAAACAGGGCTGTGCTCTAGCAGAGCCCAATCACCCCTGGGGTTTAACTTTTGGTCTCAGGTGGTGACGAAATCGCACTCTTTTGATACAGATCATATTCTCGGCATCCTTGATTTTACAGGTTGAGACTACTGGGCTTCCTTCCATTTTCCTTAGTGCACAGCCTTGCTTAAACATGACTTTTTCGTCTGTTTGTTACTTTTTTGTAAATGTTTTAGAAAGGTGCTTTATTTAACAGTCTGTAATTAAATGAAAATCTGAAAATGGCTAAATTAAAGTTGAAGAGCTTATTGTTAAAAGGTGTACATACATTGCTTGTTAGACATCTACGAAAAAGGTTACGTTTAAAGGAAAAGGGTGCTAAATGTAGACCTTGAGATAAGGTGGGGGGGGGCAGTCATCCAGACCGTTAGATCAGGCGGGGTGGGTGGTCTCCCAAAAACGCTTTTGCAGCCCTTCTGGCCTCAGTTTGGTCTAAAAAGAAGGGGGGCGGGCCAGTCCTGTGGATCCACCACTGGTTCATATATTTTCATGGACAATAATACATATCTCATCAGCTTACCCTAGGGGTAGCCCCCCGATAAACCAGGAAAATATGTTGGGAATACAAGGGGATCAATTCCATTGTGTGCCTATGGGGTTGGGAAGATCCAGAACAATATTTCAGCTTGAAAGGAAAGGGGTGGGATTGTGGATTCCAGATGCGTAATAATGAATTCAGTATTTGTCAGTAAAACTTGGATTCATTGTTGTAATCATTAGTGGGATTCCAAATTCTTTGAGGTGTATTCCAGTTTCCATACTTCGAAACGTAGATTCGCTTAGATGGGGCAATATACTTTATGTACTTCAACGGGCCTGCCAGTAAAGGTTCTTGTTGTTGATCACCCACATCTAAGTTACCCTAGGATGACATTCGCTAACCCTACAAAGAGTGCAATTATCACATTTAATGTAACCTATTCTGTGAAGACCACAGGTACCATAAATTACTATTTTGGATTTAACATTTTCGATTGTGGGATTTTTTGGGTCGTTTAAGTAGGGATTTTTTTTGGCAACAATCTGAAGAGTTGTGATAGTACACACAATTATTTGCTGTCTGCTTCTATAAGTTAAGTTTAACCCAACTTGTTGTCCTTTCTGGAGATTTTAAAGTTCAAAGATTTGGCATGCAATGTCAAATGTGATTTGATGCTTTCTGAGGTAAGTCCTACCAAGGGATTGCACTCCTAGCAGACTAAAGGGCATCGCATTCTGTGTCAAATTTTCCACCCCCTATCAGTTAAAGAGTTAAAAAAAAATTTTTATCTCTAAAACTACCTTCTCATCGATGTCTCGTTACCAAACTCGTTACTTCCAGAACATTTCATTTCAGGGGCACCCAACGAGAATATTGTTTAAAACCACTTAAACATAGCATTCTTGAAGGTATTTTAGTATTTAAAGGGTAGATATAGGCATATTTTTGTCCCCTAAAAATTTTTCCTTCTTCGGATTTGCTAGGTGAAAGTCTAGTGATCCGAAAATTATACGGATGAAAACTTACCTTTTGAAAAATTTCAGCGACAAGGTAGTCTCCTGAAATTCGAAGTGACCTTTTCAGCGTAAAAATCCGTTAAAAATGGGCAATGATACCTTTTTTTAGATGTTCGAAAATCCTAGGAGAGGCAGGTAACTAAGAAATTGTACAACAAAAAATGTTGCGAAAATTCTATATCTGAAATCGTCTTGCGAACAAATATTTTCTGAAAATTGACTTTGGGTGCCCCTGTCATTTTTTCTCTCCCTTTTATTATCTACCCCCCTCACCTTAAATTTACATCTGCCAATTATTTACTAAAACTGATTTTCTTTGGTGTTCTTTTATCTCAAACTCTAGAATATTAAGGAGCGGGAAAATTTGCTCGTGATAAATTTCAATGAAATCAACATTTGCTGTTAACCAATCACGGCTCTCGTCAACCGAAACTATCAATCAAGTGGTGAACGTTCGCATCTACTAGTAGAAGAATGCGTTGTCAACGTGTGTGCAACGTACTGAAATAAAGGCAAAACACTTGCTATTCTGACTGTTGAAATGCAAGGTAATCTACTTCTTGCAAAACAACAGTTGTTATACAGACTTCTAAAGGCAAATGCTCAAACAACAGTAAATGCTAAAAAAAAACCTGATTGGAAATGTTCTTCAACGCCGGCCGTAATCAGTGGACAAACTTTTAAACTGCATGGTTTTACGCGTGGCCATGGAAAGGTTAAGGATCGAGGTATCTCAATGTAATGTCTTTTTGATTGAAAGACATGTAACGACCTTGGGACGTCTGGAACTTCACGTTACAATCAATAATCTTGTTTGGCAAGAGATAAACAGTGTGCAATATTCAAGTTTCGCCATTCAATTAATTGGCCTCGTGCAAGTTGCTTCAATCGTACACTACAAGGACAAGAAAACTAAGTCATGTTTACAGGTTAGACATTGCGTTATAAAGTTGAACTTGAGGGTTTAGGAAACGAAGTACGCCAAGTAATGTGTATCAGTCTAGATCTAGAAGCTTTCTCACTAGTCTATTTTACGAAACAAAAAAAGCTAAGATTGAAAATATTTCTTGTGACAAATCTAGTTTTCGAGAGACCTGTGTACACTGTGTGTAGTGGTCGTCCGTTTAATTTTCTGATGAAGTTATACCCGCTGACACTTTCGTCTGCTTTGAAGTCCTTAATAAACTGAAACAGCTTTCATTGTAGCTACCAAAGTGTACTTTTTAATATCTAAAGATATTTTCTAAGCCAAGCTATAAAATTGGTACTCGCTCAAGCTTGAATTGAACCGTTATATAATTATTGTGAAGTTTTTTAACCCACTGGTCAAAGCTCATAGAAAGGTCTCCGTAAAGCAATTTGTTGTTCTGTTCCATAGACAGTTGCTGCATGGGATGTCCTGATTTTTAGGCTTGAACTGACTTGTTAAAACGTTGCAGAGAGAAGTGCGCGTATGCACCCAGTTATTCAAGGGTCGAAATCTATTAAACTAGCACGAACTAGCGTGCAACGAAACGTGACAATATTTTATAGGTGTAGAAATCTTTAAAAAGCTTGACAATTGGCAGCTGGGTGAATTTGCTTTCATGTACTTCAGTTAAATGTGTGGCATTCTGATTCAAGTTGCACCACTTTCGAAAAACGTAATGTTTGAGATCACAATATGCAGAAACGTTTCATAAGTCTTGCTGTGTATAAATTGTAGACAAACTGCGGAGAATGTTGATTTAAACCTCGCCACGTTATAAGCTAGCTATATATGATACCCGAATTTAGCAGAGTCGGAGACTGGTCTAGATGCCCAAACATCCAAGGAAATATTAAAAAAGCCTTATGTTGACTGGTACGTTTAGAGCAAAAATGTTTCTTTTAGCAAAAAGGTGCAGGTGTAGGTAATAGCACACCTAACGTGCTTGAGGTTAACATATTTACTCTATCAAAATTTCTGAGAGTATATAAACGTTTGTCAGTGATCAGCATGTTGCAGAAAAAAGAGAATTCTCCTGCTATCGCAGTCAACATAGACAAATGCATCAATTCCTATGGGAAGTAACAGACTAAATTGTATCGTTGCGACAAGTTTTCATTGTCTTTACATTTTGTAAACCCTTGTATGTTCAGGGGCACCCAACGACCAATTTGTTGTAAAATGTATTATTATACCCCCATTAATGAAAATAAATGTTATTAAGGCATCTTCACGTGTTTTTCAGTGTTGCTGGGAAAATATTATCTGTTCCTTTTTCCCAGCAAGACACACAAGAAATTTCCCAGCCAGCTAGATAAAATTGGTCGGTTTCCCAGCCAGCTGATCAAATTTATTTCCCAGCCAGGAATTAAATTAATTAATATAAATGAAAGGAATAATAATGATGATAACAATAACAATACTTATATTAATGTGGATAAATGTAATTTAGGCAAAGTTAACCTCGAAACAATGCTGGTTTGCAGTTTTTCCTGCTATACGGGCGGTGGCCCGATGCCTCTAGCAGGGGCACCTCGTGAAGCAGTTGCTTGCTTGCAGTTCTTCGCAAAGTGTTGTTGCAATAGCCTGCTATTTGCGTGTCATTCTGTTTTTTTTTTTTTTTGACAAACAGCTGTAATTCTTGTGTTAGTATATGATACTCTAAATGTACTGCTGTCTGGAGCAGTCTAAATTTTAGGAGACTTTTGTGAGCCTGGAAAGTGAGCGCAGAATTCATAACACCTAGCAGCATTGTACACATGGCAATTGTTTAACATACTTGCTAGGATAAACCAAGGTAATCCCCAGTTCCTTGCTATTTCCACAGCCTGAAAAATAATATTAAAAAGGAAAAAATAAGAGACAAAAGTTAATTGACTACAGCCAGCAGAATTACTGATTGAGTGTGATGTTTTCAGATCTAGTTATAGCCTTACTAATCAAAGCTATTGTTATCACAGGGGCCACACACAAAGTGCATGACCCTTGGTATTATTGAATTCAGAAGCAATGTATGAGAATAGCAAGAAGTTCCATAATTATTACTGTACTATTCTGTGATCAATATTATATTTTCATATAAGATGAGGATAAACCAACCTTTATCTGAAATGAAGTGCTGTTGTTGTTGATGGCTGGAAATGGCAAATTTTAGCGATTTTTTCCTGAGCAATGCAAGTCCTTGAAAGTGTAGGTTAGTTTATTCTCATTTGACATGTAAATATTCATTGCAGAATAGTATAATGATAAATCTTATGGAACTTTTTGCAATTCTCATACATTTCTTCTAAATTCAATAATACCAAGGGTTACCCACTTTATGTGGGCGTCCTGTGATTGGTGGTATTTGTAAAAAGTAGACTCCACCCCTTTAAATTTTTAAGTGTAGAAACCTTACGCTTAAGTTGAAACATATTTATTTATCATGAATGTCTGCGCCAAACAACAACAAAAAAAAGGTTGAGGTAGCAATCTATTTGTTATCATGGTGCTGCAGTCAACCAATTTAGCTATATTGTATATCTTTCCACATCAACTGAAAAATAAAAAAAATTCCTTGATTCGCCTAATATGACAGTCATTATTTATAAATTTCCTCCACACAATACCAGAATACTGAAATGGATGGATAACAAGATCAGTAAAATTTCTGCAGGCCATAATTAGGTCTAGCAGTTGAACTGGTCCAAATGAATGAATTTCTCCACGCTACAAATATTTTTTTATTTTATCAAAATTTAAAATGTTACCATGATTGGACAAACTGTTAAGCATCTTCCTCCCAATGACATGGATGAGCGTCCATTCACATTAAAGGAAAAGGGAAACTTAATAGACAACTGAATAGAGGGCCACAAAGGAAGCAAAGTTCTCAGCGCAAACCATGAAATCCCTAACTCAACCAGATGGAAGAGAGAGGGTCATATAAGAATGAACAAAAAAAGAATACCCAAAGTCACAAGCCTAACCCAACCTGGTGGAAGAGAGAGGGTCGTAAGAATGAACAAACAATGAATGCCCATCGTCACAAGCCTTAATCAACCCGATGGAAGAGAGAGGGTCATAAGAATGAACAAACAGTGAATGCCCATCATCACAAGCCTAACCCAACCTGATGGAAGAGAAAGGGTCGTAAGAATGAACAAACAATGAATGCCCATCGTCACAAGCCTAAATCAACCTGGTGGAAGAGAGAGGGTCGTAAGAATGAACAAACAGTGAATGCCCATCATCACAAGCCTAACCCAACCCGATGGAAGAGAGAGGGTCGTAAGAATGAACAAACAGTGAATGCCCATCGTCACAAGCCTAACCCAACCTGATGGAAGAGAGAGGGTCGTAAGAATGAACAAACAGTGAATGCCCATCGTCACAAGCCTAACTCAACCTGATGGAAGAGAGAGGGTCGTAAGAATGAACAAACAGTGAATGCCCATCGTCACAAGCCTAACTCAACCTGATGGAAGAGAGAGGGTCGTAAGAATGAACAAACAGTGAATGCCCATCGTCACAAGCCTAACCCAACCTGATGGAAGAGAGAGGGTCGTAAGAATGAACAAACAGTGAATGCCCATCGTCACAAGCCTAACTCAACCTGATGGAAGAGAGAGGGTCGTAAGAATGAACAAACAGTGAATGCCCATCGTCACAAGCCTAACTCAACCTGATGGAAGAGAAAGGGTCGTAAGAATGAACAAACAGTGAATGCCCATCGTCACAAGCCTAACCCAACCTGATGGAAGAGAGAGGGTCGTAAGAATGAACAAACAGTGAATGCCCATCGTCACAAGCCTAACCCAACCTGATGGAAGAGAAAGGGTCGTAAGAATGAACAAACAGTGAATGCCCATCATCACAAGCCTAATCCAATTTGATGGAAGAAAGGGCAGTTTCCTGGTGTACCGGTTCACAAAGTTTCTAAAACAATAGATAACAATAGAATACAATAAGCCACATGAACAAAGAACAATAAAGAACGAACAATAGATCTGTGACATTTCTGTAACACGAAAATACTCCGAAGAAAGAGGGTCGTAAGAATGAACAAACATTGAATCCCCATTGTCACAAGAATAACTCAATCCAATGGAAGAGAGAGGGTCGTAAGAATGAACAAACAGTGAATGCTCATCGTCACAATCCTAACTTAGCTTTGTTTTGTACAGAGACGGAGTATGACTAAAGATTGTTGAAGAGGAGAAGTAAACAATCTGCCAAGTAAAAAAGAATTAGTGCTGTTGAATTGGTCACAATAACAATTAATTTTAACTGTCAATGTATGTGTTGATTGATCAGTAGTTATTACTGACACATTCATTGTATGAACAATAGTATTAATGTCTTAATTAAGTACTCAATCCAATACAAAACAGCTGAGCATCAGATGCATTCTGACAAATAAAACCACAGTCTGGCCAGAACCAACAAAATTTGCTTAGTCAGAGAAAAGAAAAACTATAGTTAACACCATAGTAATTCATATTTTAATCCATTTGCATCCAAGCCGTCTTTTCCCATCCTCACGTGCAAGTGGGTTCCTCACGTGCAAGTTGACAATGTCCATTTTTTCAAACTGAAGTCGTTAATTGGGGTTTCCTTATTTTTGGCTGAGAATTTTAGCTTATGAAAAGCAAGCTAAAAGCGTGACACAGCTCTTATTATTTGTCAGTGTATGTTTGTTATCTGCCTTCTGGCTACATATACAAAGGCTGGTTTCTATGTTAACACAAAAACAGAGGCTTTGCTGGAGTTGTCGAGAGAAACAAACCGTTTTTTTAGCGAAATAACTTGCATTAAAATAAGTACGAATTTTTCTTGATTCTTACCTTGTGTGTGAGGAAACACCTACTCGATCCGGTGGCTGCCTACACGGCCTAACTGTAAACAAAAATACTGCTGTCAGTTTTTTAAAATTTGTTGGCTCAGTTCGCTTCAACTGTAAAACGCTGAACACACACTACAGGGCGCCGAAACTTAAATCTGTGAATGAAAATACAAATTACTGCTGTTAGATTCACTCGATTCGTCTCAATTCAGTGTAGAAGAACATCACGAGAACTTAAGCATACAGATAAAATAACAATGGGAATTAATCTTACATGTAAATGAGGAAAGTTCTTCGATCTGTACATGTGCAGACATCCGCGCGCTTTGAAATCCCTCGCAAAAATAACCGACACAAAACCGGTTTTTTCCGCAAACGCGATCTCTCTGGCCAGCCGTCAAATGTTTGTCCCTACTCTCGGGGGAGGGAAGGGATACTTTTTTTCAGTCGTCCTCGATCTTCAGAGTTTCTCAGCCAGCCCGGCTTGAAATGCTAGAAAAGTCAGTAATTTCCAGCCAAAGCCTCTAACAATAAGAAATTTCCCAGCCAGCTCATTAGAACACCTAATATTTTGCCAGCCAGCAAGATTCCTATGGGGAACAGATAAAGTGAGGAACAGATTCGTTGGGTGCCCCTGTATGTTTCGTTCAGGGGAAATTTAGTTAACATAAACTGAATAACAAAAATAAACAGGGTAGACAAAATACTGAAAGACCAACTTTATTCGCTTTTGACTTATTGTTGCAAACTACGTAAACCGATCCACAGAGGTGAGGTTGCAAGTCATGATATCGCTTTGCCCAGAGTAGTGCCACTGTTAGACGAAGAAAGTTGCTAAATTATAGCAGATCGTTCTCCAATATTGAATAGCTGAAATTGCTTACCAGCTGTTACGATTTGTTTTTAGCGCATCTTACTTATATCAAAGCTTTGACGAAAACGGATCCCTTGCGTGGCCGTGGAGGTGGATGTTGTAGAAGCACCAGTTCTTGTGATCTCGTTCGTGAGGCAGCGTCTCGTAGTTTTAACACGTGAAAACGTGATACTTTGTCGTCAGTTCTACTGAAACTCGCACAAGTTGTAGAAATGGGAATATTGAGTTATTACATATGAGAAGTTTAATAATTTTCTAACCTAGCAAAGAGGACATGTTCTTCAATCGAATTAACCGCACCAATTTTTGACGTGAAAACAAGTATATCCACACTTCAAGTTAAATCTGGTACCCCTAGCCGTTGTTTTTGTTTAGGTTTAGCCTCTTGGCCACGACTTCCCGGCTCCTGGTGAGGAAAACGGCTCTTCCCACGGTTTGGGCGGAATGAGTTTGCGGAATGGCATGTGGCATGGCTTGCGGAATGACATAATTATGCAGAATGTAAAATATGGAAACTGGCGCAAAGAAATAAATTAAACTGAAAGGTATGCGCGCGTCATTGCCGCGCCTTTTTTGGCGCCAATTTGAGTGAGCAACTGCTTCACTGGTTCACGCATTTAGGCATTTATCTAAAACATACCTGAGAATTGGCTAGGGTTCCTGAAGGCAACGTCCAAACGAAAACATTAAAGTCCGGTAAATATAGTGAGGCGTGACCAAAATAACTTAGTCTCCTCGATTGTAAAGTAACAAGACGAAATATCTTCTTTTTCCGTTATCCTTAGCGAATTACCATTGTTAAAATCCTTATTTTTCGATAGAAGGGAGTACCAGAATACTTAATTGTGCGGTTGATTTTTTGCTTCTTCAAAATACTGTCGGCACCGAAAATGTTACTCCTTCGATCAAGAATTACGCTGCGTTACTTCCGTCTCTTCAAACATACAATGTGACACGTGTAGTCACGGAACAGACTGTCACGCCGAGTCGCAGACATGTAAAGTTCATCGTTTCAAAATGGCTAAAATTAACCCAGTTTCACCTTTTTACCCCATTGTTTGTTTGAAAAAATCAACTTTGCAAAGGAAAAACCTACAAGACGTACGAAAAACGAGCCTTTAGGCTGTAAATATCTATTTATGTGCGTTTCGAAATTGGAAGTGTTTACACAATACAGACAATTACCGCCAGCCTACCATGAAAATTCCTGAACTTCGATGGTGTCTTACAGAGATTTCCTTCACTTACCCAAGCCAATTCCCAGGTACGTTTTAAATGAATGTCTAAATGTGTGATTTAAATAGCAAGAAGAGAATTTGGAGTAATACCACATGTTAAATATTGCCGTCGAAAATGAGTAACGAACTTAAATTTTGTCCCTCATTTTTAAAATTATTTCAGTACGACCAGCTTCCCTATTGTCCAGAAAAAAACTTCTAGTGGAAGGAAAGAATTTTTCTGTTCGTGGAAAGTGTCCAAATGTCTCCATCCAGCTTCGTTTGCGAACACGAGGAAAGTTGATGTTAGCGAATTTCAGGTTAAAAATTGATGCAGTTTGAGACGGACTCCGACATCGAAAACCGATGTTCTATTTTTTCTCACCAATGAAAGGCTTTCGGCGGGAACAATCTACGTTAGGTTCTTATAAACCTAAAAGCTATCTATGAACAAAAATGAAAGAACTTGATTTTTCAACTCTTGCCACGAAATTAACATTTTGGTCGATTTTTCTGTTTCGCACGTCTCAAGCTCGCAACTGAGGAAACAAAATACAAGATTCGATTCATCTCTGAATAATATTATCAATTATGGCACGATCACGTAACCCACAGTGTCATAAAGAAACACTTCTCACACGGTTTGGAATACAAATATAGGTAACAAGAAACTGTTAAGTTAATCGTACAAACATCTTTTGCTGAAAAAATTAATTAAAGTAGAAGGGAGCGTGACCTTCGAAAACGTCTTTTCTTCAATAGACGAAGAACCTTTTCTGCTGTGCGGACAAGGCTGGTCGACAATGAGCCTTCGTGGTTTTTTGATAGTCATCGTATGTTTAATAAGCCCGCAACATTAAAACAGAGGCTGCG